ATATATAAAGCTATGCTAGTCAATTTCTATTTTCCATTAAAAGATGCTAAGAAAAATACGAGCTTTGTCTTTAACAAACTTTCCTTCACATACAAAAATTCATTTCATAAACATAAATCTTGCAAACTTTTTTCTAATTTTGCTACCATGTTAAAACTAATTTCCAGTATGAAAAATGAGGCAAGTAGAAATAAGCATCACTATAAATACAATCATGAGCTATTCTGGTAAGATTTTGTTTTCCAAAATAACAGAAAACTTAAGCACTAAATGCAAACTGAATAGTTAGTGATTTACTGACAGTTACCATGTGTCATTTTGAATGTGAACATAATCTGCAGTATTATTAATGAGGGTTTTGTCCCTTTTTTTGACTGATGTAGCAAGGGATACTCTACAGACCCAAGAGCATTAAATAAGACAATGATTAAAAGATCTTAGATGCTCATGGGAACACAGAGCAGCGCACTCAAAAAACTGACAACCGTAGTTGAGAGTAAATACCTCCAGGTGATAGGGAACCTTGGTGTCTGCAATCTGAGGTACATACCACTAGGTGGAACTGCTGTTACCTCGTTAGATAAGGGAGAAATGATCTGCCTTCTCTTTTTAAACAAAACAAACCCTTTATTTTTACACACAAACACACACACACACACACACACACACACACACACCCCAACACATGCACATGAGCACAGGCATTCAATTATTATATATATTTTAAATAGTAGAGGGAACATAAGGAACCATGTTGAAAAGAAAAGCACTTCATCAGAGTTAAAAGCTTGATTACGCACTATTCCCTGACATGTGGGAAGTCTAACTAGAGCACAATTATGCTCAGGCTTACCACTGGTGGTTTCTACCTGTTGGCTTGACCATTTTATAGAGTGAGAAGTAAGAAGAGAAAGCAATTCAAATAATTGTTTTGTTTAAGACTTGAAAAGTCATTGCCAGTCATTACAAGGAACTTCTTCTGTTATCCATCTAATTCATATTCAGAGACAACAGGAGGCATAAGTCACCCAGCCACCCTCATTCCCATTAATGCATCGTACCTACAGAGCACAAAATAAGTTTACTGAATAGTGTTAGTTCCCTATTCTTTGCTATAGTTTTCTAGTTTTTGTTCATCTATAGAGTATCAAGCATAAATTTCAAGTTATTTAACCCTTATTTCTGTAATCTGTCAAAAAGATGTATTTTATTACAACAGGTTTCTTAAAATAAGGTTCATAGGATACTATCTCCTATGATAAAGCTAAAATTTATCTGCTTATTGATGTGCCAAGTGGCATACTTCCATTTACAATTAAACCCTCCGCTGATTACAAAGTTATTTGTAAAAGACAGAAATCAATTACTGTCGCAGTTTTAAAATCCTTGGTTACGTGAGTTTTTGTATAATCCATGAAAAACAATTAAATAAAAATAACTGAATTCATGCATTCAACCTCTAGGATAAACTGATTTTGGAGAAGGATAAATATTAAAGAATGCAACTTCTAGGTTCTTACCTTTGGTGGCTTAAATGGATAATCGGATGAAAATGTGATATCCAGAAAAAACACACCACCTTCATATACAGAACCTGGTGGACCAAGTATAGTCGATCTCCATTCATAAATGTTATCTCCTTTAGGCCCAGCACTATTTAAAAGAAATTAAAAATCAATGTGTATATCTGTGAGCAATGAACGTTAACATCTTAAGCCAATTAAGTATCAAAGGTAAATTAGCAACCTAGAACAGTAAGAGATAACAATAAAAGAAATAAGCCTCAACCAACCTCTGCATGCATGTATGTGTAAAAACATACTTCGAATTATTTCTAACTACATAAAAATTGCAAGAACAAAGAACACTTGCATAACTTTATCCAGAATCTTTTTGTTAGCATTTTGCTCCATTTGCTTTATCAACTGCCTCTCCCTATCCCCCTCTCCTAAAAAAACAAAAAACAAAAAATATATATGTTACACATACATACACACACACACACCAAACAGACATAAAATGCTTTTTTGAGCCATTTGAGAGTAAGTCGCCATAAATACTTCAGTGTACATTTTCTAAAACTCTCTCTAATACAATTGCAACATAGCTAAATTTCAGTAAACATAAATCCTATACAATACCTACAATTTGCAAAATAATGTCAACTGACCCAATAAGTGCCTTAAATTTTAAAAAAAATTTTCCTCCAGATACAGGATCCAATCTTGGGATCATCTATGTCCTGTGCCTTTAGTCTCCTTTAATATAAAGCCTTTCAGCCTTACTTTGCCTTTTATAATGTTAACATTTTTGAAGAATATATTTCTTCTTAATATAAGCTCATCATTTTCAGCTTGTCTGTTGTTTCCTCATGATTAGTTGCAGGTAGTGCATTCCTGGAGAGGAGTACATAAGTGATGCTGTGTTCTTCTCAGGGTGTCACATCCACAGGTACATGTCCCTAACTGGTGATGCTTTTTTCATTATCCAAATCAAGTGCTGTCCAATTTTCTTGCTGCTTTAGTATCTTTTCCCTGCAACCCAGAAGCAATCTTTGGACACTTTAGGACCCATGCAAATACTCTACTCTTCATCAAAATTTCTCCCCTAGATTTAACACCGACTTGTGATTCTTGGCTGAGCTAAGCTTTACTATGATGGTGATAAAATAATAATTTTCCAGCTTCAGCACTTCCTCCATATTTACCAGTTGGCCCTTGAGCCCTCTCTTCTTCTGTTTGTATGTGTATTATTGGTGAGGTCTCATAGATTGCTTTTTTCCCCTAACAGTCTGTAATTTATTATTGCATTTAATTATTTTGATGCTCAAATTACCCCAGATTTGCCTAGTGGGAACCCCTTCAAAATGACCCCTCATGACACTGCCATCAATTTTTGGAGCACCTTCTTACTTTCTGGCTTAACTGGGTGTTCCAGGCTCCTATCTCTGAAATCAGCCATTTTTTCAACGAGCCCTCGTTCCTGTTAGTGGGAATGTTGTTCAAGGTCTGAGTGCTAGGTGCTACTAAATCCCAAGCTCATTACGTTGTGCTCAATACCATCATTTCATTTATAAAATACAAGCAATAATTCAAATAAAATCTAAACCCACCATTATTTGTTGGTAAGGCATATTCAATACTCCTTAAACCCTCTTCAAATTTACCTTACAGACTTCCATTTTCCTCCAACCTTTACATCATTGATTATCTTAACTTCCTGAACTAATGTATGTATAAAGCTTTTTGTCTTTCATAGTGACCATCAGTTTAGAAATTATCTTCATGTCTGATTTAAGTAAATGCAAACCAGCATTGATAAATGAATCATATTACAAAGGATATTCAGGTATAGTTCAAATGATTTAACTATACCTTACTGATTCTGTAAAACAAAACTGTAGTCTGTAAACATTAAGTAAGCAATGCTATCAATAATCCAACGGGTGCTCTGAAAAACAATTCATGCAGAAAGGGTGCAGAAAACTTCATGGTACAACCAAAATGTTTACAGGATGTTTCAAAAACCTATCAGAATATGTGTGTGTGTGTGTGTGTGTGTGTGTGTACACACATATATATTCATAAGACATATATGAGTAATAAAATCTTACTATTATGGTCTATTTAGGAAAAATACACTTAAACTATTTGATGTGTTTTAAGTATATGCAGCAACTGGAACTAATTACAGTAATGGCTTATTGTTCTGTCATCATTTGAGAATCAGGTATGTTTCCTAAGGGAATTTTCACTGTAACTAAAAAATACAAAATGGAGTATCAATTTTCTTCCCCCAAAAAGTTTAACCTGATTCAAAGGCATTTCCTTTTCTAAGCTAATTTTTCCCTTGATGATTCAGGGTAATCATTATAAAACTAAATTACAGTGTAAGAAACTTTACTTATAGCTGCTTTACTAAAATGTTTCTAAACTATATATGCCTAATAATAATAATAACAACAACAATAAAAAAACAGCTAAGGATTACTCTATTATAAGCCAGGCATTTTCCAAAGCTTCATAGCGAATATCTCAGTTAATTCTTCTCACAAATCTATAAAGTAGGTATTATTACTATATTCCTAATTTTAGATGAGGAAACTACAAAGCTCAGAGTTAAATAACTTTCCATATGCCCCACAGCAACAAAGTGACTGACAAAATTTGGACAGTCTGAATAAATCTCTAGTGATCTCAATGGTTTTGCTATATTTATATTTCCTCTTATAATTTCAACGCTACTATATGTAATTTAATTTTTAGTCAAATTTTGCAAATACTAACTTGGGTAGGAACCCAAAGGGAGCTGTTTTCCAAAGAAGCCAAATTTCCTCAGTGATATTTTTTGGTTCTTAGAACTATGTTATGCTCCAGATGGCTGGACAGAAGGTAAGGTGGGGATTACTATATTTTAATGAATCACAGAATTTCAGCATGAAAAGGATCTGGCTGAAGCCAAACCCGTCCTTTTACACTTGAAGAAACCAAGGCATAGAAAGGAAGTGATCCATCTTAAATCCCTGCTGTCAGTTGGTGGAAGAGCTGGGATTCCCACACCAAACTCTTCTTAAATTTGCTTTCTTTTCACTTACACTATTTTGCCAAAACACACTAAAGATAAGGTTATTACAGCAGAATATTAAATGCGACTATCCATACTGTCTTGGAGTAGACTCAGTAGGGATGTGTGACTCCTTTGCTGTTCTAATGACATCTAGCCTAAGGTGAGTTAGGGCTAAAATCCAGCCCTTGTGTTGGCTGCTTTGTCTAGAATATGGCCCCTATTTTCCTTCTCACAAAGGTGCCACCTGCTAGTCAAGAGATGGGGGCAGGGGTGGATGCATAACTGACTCCACCCTAATTTAAACACAACATTTTATAGGCTAGTAGTTGACCTGCCACTGAGGCTTCACAGCTGAGCAGAAAATGAATGATAAATGCTGACACTCTCAAGATAGGTGCTACCCATACCTTTTCACCAGTTCTCAATCTTTCTCTTTCTCTTTCCCAAAAGGACAAGACTCCAGCAATTCCATACTCCCTCTTGGATCATCTATTTTTCCCTCTCTGGTAAACCATGCCCATAAGAATACTACAATCCCATTTCCCCAATCTTTATTAAAAAGATTCCTCTATGCCTTCCAGCTTTCATCTCAACTACCTCTTAACAGGCTTTTATACCCACTGCTCCATTGAAACCACTCTCATCCGAGGTCACCAATGACCTCACTACTAGATCCAATACTCTTTTTCAATCTTCATCTTATTTGACTGGCCTACAACATTTGACATAGTTGATCACTTCCTCCTTGATATACTTTCTCTGCTTTGTTGCTAGAATAACATACTTACTTTCCTCCTAATTTCCCTGGCCCCTCCTTCTCAATCACTATTGCTGTTCCTTACCTCCCTCACCTCTAAATATTGCCAGTTCTCCAGAGCTCAGTCCTTAAATCTCTTCTCCGTTCTACCTACATCCACTCTTTTGTTGATCTGCAGTCTTGTGGCTTTCAACAGCACCAATAACCCTTAACCACCTAATCTGTATCTCCAGCCTATATTTATATTCTGAATTCCAGGGCTATACACTTAAATGCTCACTAAACGATCTTTTTTTGAAATCTAATATTTTGAATTCTGTAATTTTGAAAAGCACCTCAAATTTAACATGTCCCAAAGTGAGTTCCTGATATTCCAATTCTTCTCACAAGCTTCTCTGCTTCAGCTAACGGTAACCCTATGCTTTTAGTTTCTCGGGGCAAATGCCTAGACCTCATTCTTGACAACACTCTATCCTACATCCCGTGTATCAGGAAGTTCTATCAGTTTTATCTTCAAAACATACCCCAAATTCTATTACTTCTCCCTACTCCTATCAGCCCAACCTTGACTGAAAACACCTGTGTCTTAATAATTATTCTAGCCTCCTCACTTCTACCTGTGACACCAACCGGCACCATGGTAGTCTATTCTCAATAGACCAGGCAGAGCAACAGTTACAAAGTAAATCACATCGTATTAACTATGGTCAAAATCTTCCAAAGGCTTACCTTCTTATTCTGTGTTAAAGTCAAAGCCTTATGACCTATACACTGTATAATTTGCCACTACCACCACCACTACCATCCTTCTTGTCTGTTCCTCCCTTCCTTGGTCTACTGGCTACAGCAACCTATTTCTCTACCACATAATGTACATTTCCACCTCAGGGCCTCTGCACCAGTGTGTCTCTGCCTGGAATGCTCTTCCTCAAAAGAGCCACATGTTTGCTCCATCACCTTCTGCAAGTCTTTCTTGACTCAAAAGTCACCTTCGTGATGCCTTTCCTGGCCACTCTATCTTAAAATGTCACACACTACCTCCACCATATTTCACCCTCCTTTCTATTTTTTCTCCATAGCATCTATTACTAACATATTACACATTTTATCTATTTATCTTACTTATTATTGTCTGTCTCCCACTAGAATGTAAGCTCCCATGAGGTGACAAGATGTGGACTGGACTCTAGCTTACAGTGGACTGGGCTTTTTTTAACGCCCTGAAAATTAAGGCACATTTTAGTAACTCAAAGCGACTAAAGAGTTGTGGGATCTGCCCAAGGGGAGAAGAAAGGGCGATCTCACAGAGCATGTTTAACGGCAAAAGAAA